AATGGTTACGGATTTTATTGTAATTGAGGAAAATCGAAATAATTCCAGTTTCTCGTGTTTGTGGTGGTTTTATTTGTATTGTTATGATTGATTTCACCTTCAAAACTCACTGAATCCCTCATCTCAGATTTAATTTTATTTATTTTGACTTAATTAATTTTTCTTGAATTCGACCACATTCTCAATTTTTAATAATATCTGACTTGCGATTTAATTTAGTGTATCAATTCTATTGTTAACGAAGTGATCAGGGATTTAAAATTATATCGAGTCTTTCGAATTTAAGAATTGTAGACTAGTGATTTAACGAATTTAATGGAATTTATTTTATGGTACAAAATTGAGGTTATCGTCTTTATCGTATTAAAGGACGAATAAATAGTCTTATCAAGTAAGTGTAGTAAATTTTGTTTATTTTGGAAAACCCAATCATTTCAGATTTGTTTCTTGGAGCAGAATTTTGAACCCAGCCGCCTCCGCGGTTGATACTGAGTGGCCGGACACTGTTCCAATTGTTTCTTATTTTGAATTTGTTTTTGTCTGTTTTGTTAAGAAAACGTACTGGCGCCTGACTATGGTTTATTTAGGTCGGATGCCAAGGGCTTCGGATTAAGTTTTTCTTTCCGCGAGAAGACGAAATTCGTCACAATATATATAAAAATATATTTTTATATATATATCATTCGGCGCTTTCAGGGACATTCTACGCACGTGTCGTCGAGTTCCAGGACACTGGGCGAGTTCCAGGCCGGTCCTGGAATTCCTACGGAACTAAAGGTTCATTCCAGCCCGGTCTTGAAACTCGATAGTTTATATGCATGGATTATTCCCAGGACCGGTCCTGGAAATGAACTGTCCATCGCATATACGTATATCAAATGTACAACTTGGGGGTGGTATTGGACTATACAATTTTAATACGTACATTTCTTCCGAGCTAGGCCAGTAGAATCTCGCAAAGATAAGGCCATCGAAAAAAAGCTCAAGCCTAACTTTCGAATTTGGGTGAGTTTTAAGAATCTGTGGGTGTGCGGACTATTTTTTCCGTGCTATGTTTCCGCCTACAATGCCATCATATTGCTCCATGACCAGAGGTGCATTATCTCACCTCTCTCGAACTAATTAACGAGTTCATTCGATACCAAGTGCCTTGTCATCAGTCGATCATCTCCTGATGTTCATTTTTGTTTATCTCTTCTGAAGCGTTGTTCATCGTTAGCCTGGTACTGGAATTATCCGCTTTGCCTCATTTCCTATATTCTCTTTTCATATATATCTGGGTTTCAGTTATTTCCTATTTTCCAGGCCCGGTCCCGGCATTACATTTTTTGTACATTTTTTTATATTCGATATTCATGTATATCTAAATATTTCACTCAGCTGTTTCGATTTCATAGAACCAAGTGTATACTCTCATAAAACATTCGAAGTTAAGTATATTTTTACGTAGTTCTATGAGAAATTATCATTACATATTATCGGTCCTGGAACTCTAAGCGTCAATCAAGTTGACAGCATGCAATTTGATTCTTGGTATAGTGTCTAAATGAGTCATCAATTTTTTTTTCTACTAGTTTTCGTCAATTTCCCACGAATCTCCTTTCCAATTTCCAAAGTTCACTACATTTTGTCGATTATTTTTCAAGAAAACTGTAGTTCCATAATTGAATTGATGTGAAACTTTGATTTTGAGGAAGAAATAAATTAATGAGGAAAGACAGTGAATTTCCATTTTTTTTAGAGAATGGAAAAAAATGCGAATTGAATGATCCCCGTTCCGGGATTAGCATCATGAGGTGCAGGATAGGTCAAAGATTTCGGGAGAAGAAACAGTAGAAAACTTATCAATATCAAAATTCGACGAATTTCACTCAGAAAGGGGAAAAAAACATAAAATTTCGTGTCAGAATTCTTTTCAAAATCTTTTTCTGACAAGTACTGTTCAAAACAAAAGATTGCGGATAGAATCATCCCCATCGTTCAATTGTCGGATAAATTACGAATATTTGAAAAAACATTTTTTTTAGAAATTCCGCATTTTTTAATTCGATCGGAAAAATCTAGAAAATTTCAACACACGACCTTTGTACGTTAGAGAACAATAACAAAATTTTCACCGAATCGAAAAGAGCAAGTTTCAAGGGTGGTCGATTGAACGTGGAATGCCCGATATAAATCATTCGGGGAGGACCTACATCTTCTATTCACAACTCGAGCGGAATCTCATAATAACCCCCATTGAACGAATTGATTTTTTCGCTAATTTCAGATATTTGGTCAATTACTCGTGAAAAAATTCGAGTTTCATCTGGTTCTTCAATAAGTTGCCTCCATTGATATAGAGGAGACATTTCTAATGCCACATCTAAGGATGATGAAAGATTGAGAAATGTAGAACTTGATATTCACTTTCACCTTCAGAGCGAAATGCAAGAAAAACATGAAATCTGTTTTCTGTTAACAATGTTTTTATTTCCTCAATTTCCTTACAAAACTTTATCATAAAGTACGCAATCCTCGTCATGGACTTGATGGCACGAAATTACATCTTCGTGAATTATTGTGAACTGTTGACTGGATTAAGTTCTGAAATAGAGCGATTGATATTACAATTAACATTCATTGGCAACTGCTTTGGAATGACGATTTTCTATATTCATTCAGTCTCATGAGTCTGTTCTGACTTCCACCGATATTCGTTAATGTTTTTGTAACTTTAATCCCTAAACTAAAAATTTTCTAACAGATATCATCAATATTTTCATTCTTAACATTATGATACAATTGAGTCATGAATAATAAAATGTAAAGAAAAAAGAAACGATTTTTTTCGTCGATGTGATATCAATTTTCATCAATTATCTTGATAACTCATTTTTTGTTATCACAAATATTTGAAAATCTTTCGTTCCTCACCTAATACTCTCTAACAGCTATAGGTGATCCTGAAATTCCCAATGCATATGAGGGATTAACTTATAAATAAAGAATTGAAAAAAAGGGCCTTATTATTGAAACTTTTTCTCTACAAGGTCTGCCTTATCCATACAAATGCTTGAATTTACTTGGCCCCATACTTACTTAACAATACTGAGAACTTCTAAATAGACCACGAGCCTTCAAGAGCCTATTCTATTTCCGAGCTATTGCTCAATACTCTGAAAAGTTTCAGAACTTATAGAAAAATGACTATCCACAAACACTCAAGTTCCAATAACACCTCGAAATATATGTTACATTCTATATCTTACTCGAAAAGTATCAAACTTTCCTTCAATATTATATCATCAATTCAGAATTGAGAACATAATTTCGAGAACTCTTTATCACAAGATTCATCACAATTAATTCTCCTGATCAGCTATATGATTGATTGAGGCTCATCACATGACCTCAAATTGCTTAATTTCATTGTCATTGATTAATATATGGAAGAATAAATGAATACGATACATTCCCTCTCAACATAAATATGGAAAATTGACAAATGATCTCCGTTCGTATTATTAATCCTACGAACCCGATTTTTGTTTGTAAAGTCATACAAAGTTGGGGATGACAACCATGAAATCAATAAGTAAACTAAAATACTCCTTGTAAAGTAAATAGCCTGTTCCACAGACGTTCTTCCTGACACATTGAATAATTGACTGAATAAACTCATTTATGATTACTAATCCATGTTTTGACTTGAGCTGGAGTACGATTTTTTAACGCTGGATTCTTAGATATATCCTCAGCAATTTGACGAAGTGATGGATATCGACTTGTTCTGAAATACTTGGCATACAAAGCCATAGCTGCATCTACTTCTTCTGGAACCCAACGTCTACGCTTGACAGGTCCATAGGGAGAAGTCGATCTCCTTTTTCTCTTATTTTTACTCGTACTATTACTTGGTCCATCAGTAGATTCCTTCCTATGGCTTCCAGAAACTTCACCAGTAGCTCCTGATTGATCGTCATCTGACACAACATTCACTTTCCTCTTCTTCGTTTGATGACCAATATCATTGTCATCATTCGATGAGACCGATTCTTCAATAGGACGTGATACTTTCTGTCTTGCTTTTCGTGGTAGAACTTTTTGAGAGTTCGATCCACTACAAGCAGCTGATCCAGGCTCTTCATCCCTGCATGATGCTGTTCCACTATCTCCCTGACCCGCCTCATCATCAGAAGAATTATCAGTTGTATTTCCATTGGCATGACTACCTTGACTAGCCTTTTCCAATAATTTAGAAACCTGGAGAATGTCACGAGCTTCGATGGGCTGTCTATAGTGGGACATATGTATTTTTTCATCATGGCCCAAGTAATTTGCCAAATCAGACACCTCATGGGAATTCAGATTCAGTAGTACGCATTGTGTGGCGATATGCTTCCGCGATTTCGTTCCACGAAGGGTCTCTGGATCTTCAGCTCCACATTGCGTAGAAAAATTACGCATTAAGGTACATGCACTCAACCATTCCCATCGATCCTTGTCTGCTCCATGGCGCAGACCAAACACATAAGGATTTTTCGTGGGTACACCAACCAAAGTTCTTAGTTTCACCAAAAGCTGCATGGATTCCAGTAGGGAATTGGTGAGTAAAACTGGCACGATGCGATTCAGTTTCCCTCGTATAACAAAACGTGTGTCAGTTTTTGCGACCTTCTGAGCCTTTGCGTCAAGCGCCCCAAACAAATCCTTATCGAAGTCCTGAATTCCACGGCACTTCTCAAAATCCTCTAACGTAATTCGTTCCACTTCACCGGCTCTCCTTCGATTGAATAATTGAATCAATGTTAGAGTTGGTCTCGCCACGGAAAGCCAGTTTCCATACGAAACCTTCGATTTTAATGCTTCCATGGCTGATTCTCTCTGTACTTCTAGATACTCCCAAAGTTTCTTAATGTCCTCGATAGTGGGTAGTTTTACATCTTTCCTCCTCTTTTGCAAGGTCTGACTTTCTTCAACAGTTTTGCTGACGCTTGCACCATAATCGTCCACTAAAAGATGGAGGAAATCTTCGCAATTTTGTTTTTCATCTGTTAATTGAAGCTTAATGCAATTACTTTTGCGTAGAGCTGCAAGTTTCTTCAACAATGATCCAGCCTGAGCGGCACTTGCAGGAGCTTCATAGGCTGTACCGTCAGCGTCAAGTCTACCGATCATGTTCACAGCGGTAATGACATCTTCATAATATTTAGGATGGTAGATAGACGAGAAGTCTGTTATTTCAGAGTTGATTTCTTTCAGGCATAGCAATAAACGTCCACAAACTCTCAGGCTATTGCGAATCTCTTTGTAATGATGTTGAGATCGAAATTTCTTACACTGCCTGTTCCCAAACTGGATGACTAACTCATCGAATCTGATGATATCCTTCACTGGGCCTTCTCTCATTGTCGGAAATATGAATTGTTTCAACACGGCACATGCTTTTAGATGAATTTCACTGAGTAATTTCCTACCCATCATTAGTGCACTCCTTTTATTGGATTTTTTATTTGTACACACTCGAAAATGGGCCTTTAAAGTCGGTTTCGAATACCAGATTTTACATCTTGCGCAGGGTAGGTGGTCCTCACTCTTTCTAGAATGAACAGATTTCTCATTCGGTCTCCGACGCACTATCAAGTCTCCTTGATTATATTCTGGATTGGTATTGTAGAGATGATCACCTTTTCCACTGATGCAATCAATTAGTTTTGAACGTTCTCGACTCTTCTTAGGCATAGATAAGAACATTTTCACATCATCTTCTTGTTTATGTCTTCTCTCCAGATGCCTTGCGAATTTATCGTTGATGAGAGTTTGACAGTACACACAAAAATGATGCTTGTGATCTCCTTTACGCCCTCTGGATGGTGCAACAGATAAATTTTTCAAATCACATTTAACCAATCCTGATTCATGTACTGATGGCGAAATGTCGAATGATTCATCCTTAGATAAGTTTGGAATTTGGTCTCTCCCATCTTGGTCAACATTTTGTTCCCTCTCTCCCATATCATCTCGAGCATCTTCATCTAGCTCACTCTCGCTTGAAGAAGAGGGGATGTATTCAGGATCATCTTCACTATTGAAATCGTCAGAATCTAGTGGAAAAATAAATATTGATGTGAAATCAAATAATGGAAATCCAAATTTCCATATTTTGATGGATCGAGAAATCATGGATAAAATAACGTAGCTATAAAAATAATTGCTGAGATACTCCTCGAATACGCAGTTTAATGAGAAAATTGTGATACCATCAGAGTCCCTACATTATCAACATCGACAGTACGAAAGAAATGCTCTAATTATTTATATCATACTGCCGATCGTGCATACGTATTTGCATTAAAAATTATTGTATTATAATAATTCTCGACGGTTATAGACGTCATTTTAGCTCCAAAATTTTCATTCTATATCATTTTCGATTGAAAATTATATAAAATGGGACGTGGTGAAAACAAGTATTTGGGGTCATGTCTGCATGTGTGTGGATATGTATGTGGGGCATTTCACGGTAAATCGACGGGAAAAAATGTAATTTTTTTTCGCGAATTCCTTTATGTATCATAGAAAATGCCTTAAGAGACAATTCGTTACAAATAAAGAGAGAAAACATTCGCACTAAGTCCTGTTTACATACATACTTAACCTGGTTCACCCCTTTGCTGTAGATTTATACCCCTCTGAATTTTTTGACGTTTTGAAAGATGCCTCTTTTTTTAATAATTCATTACTTAAAATCTATTCGTTTGATGACAAAAATATAGGAATACTTTTTCGCAGCCGAAGCTTGATTCTCTATTTTTATTAAAAAATTCCACGGGATAGTAATAATCATTTACACATTTATCCATGAACAAAACAATTTGTTCATGAAAAAAGCCATTTTGACACGAAGAGAATTTCGTCAAAAAGATATATTTCGTAGTCTAGATGCAATTGAACTTCATGTTGAATTTTTGTGTTTACACAAACGCATAACATCGTCCAATGACATTCTCGTCTGAAGTCTAATGACTCATGTATCAACTTTATGGAAAAACTATAAAGATAGGGAGAGCAGGGCAAAGTGGGACACGTTTAATCGCAAACATGTCAGACAGGAAGCAATTTGGAGAAAAGTGTCTCTGAAACTTTTTCGTAGATAATCCAATTTTCTACAAAAATTTCCATCACTTTTTTTTCTAGCTCAATTCCTTCTTGAGATACAACCGTCAAATATGTTTCACTTTTCCCAGCTCTCCTCTATTTTTCTGTAGCCAAGGCTTAGTTCTTCATCAATAAAAAAAAATTACACTGTAAAAAATTTTTTATCCATTTTTCCATGAAAAATTCGAGTTATTTACTGAAAGATCGAATTCAAGATGGAAGGAAATATTCTCAAAAAATTATATTTCGTAATCGACTTATCACTGAACCTCCAATTGAATTTTCACGAACTTTTCGAACAATGAATTGTTTTGTTCCAAAACCCACAAAAAAACCTTGGATTTTGCATTATTACACTCAATTCAACCGGTAATTCGCGCAATGACAAACCATTCATTGCTCGAAAAGTTATCAGGGTTAGATCAGAGAAATTTGACTGGAAGTTCAATGATATGTGGCTCACGAAGTATAATTCTTTGAAGAAATTTCCTCCATGTTAAATTCGGGTTTCTTACAAACAAATTTTAATTTTTCTTGGAAAAATGAATAAAAAATTATTCTTCGCCAGTGGATTCATTTTACTGATGAAGAATCAAGCTTTGGCTACAAAAGCCATGTTGTATTTATCCCATAAAATGGAAACATGAGTCACGAGACCTTACATGAAAACGGCAGTTGACGATATCATGGGTCTGATTGAACGGAAAAATAAATTGCTCGAAAAGTAATTTAGGTGAGATCACAAAAATTGAACTAGAATTTTAATGATAACTGGATTTCTCTTGTGTCAAATTGGCTTTTTCAATAAGAACATTGTTTATTTATGGAAAATTGGGTAAAAAATCATTTTCTTCCAGTGGAATTTTCCTGCTAATGAAGAAGTAAGCTTTGGCTACAAATGAGTATTTCTATATTTTTGTCATAAAATGCATATATTTTAAGTGAGAAATTATGAAAAAAGAAGCATCTTTCAAGATGTCGCAAGTCAAAGTGATATAATTATGAAAAGAAAAAAATTTTTTCCTTCAATTTATGGAAAATTATTTCGTCAAGCATATTCTACGATGTATTATATTTGAAAAAAAGCAACCAGGGAAACGGCTCATTTTTTGATCGATTAGGGTGGAATGATCACTGGAAAATCAATGGAACTAGAACTTTTAGATTTTCCGCAGTTACAGCTCCACTTGTGTTGGCAGTTAATATTGTAGTTTTCCCAACAAGGCTTGATTCATACTACTTTTTCCTACTTACTTCATATTTCGAAATACTTCCTCACAATAAATCTTCAGTATCTTCGATATCTTCTTCTCAGAGCCCACCCTCGATGCTTCAATAAAGTTGATAGTTACCATAATCCAAAACACGTCCCTGGCGGACCGGTCGATTGTAAGAATCGAGTGATTCGGTTAGTCGATTGCTATTTGATCGCTGGTCGATTGTGAGGTCGAGTGGGTAGCTCAA